AGGAGTGTAACAACTTGGGCAAGCAGGAACCTGGAGGCAACTTTAGAGAGAAACTGGAGGCTAGGCATCAACATAACATTCCCAGGGAAGAACTGGAGAAAAGGTAGATCAGACCTAAGAGCCACCAACTCTCTGATCCCTCTTAGCTGAAGTTATGGAGACCAGAAAACAAAGTTTAGGAAAAATAAAGCAATCAGGCAAGTGGACAGTGAGAACATCAATTGAGACTAAAAGGCGCCACTGTGGGACAATAGGACTTCTAGGAGGGTAGAAGTTATACAGACCCTTAAGAAATTGCTTAGAAGTATAGTGGGGAAAACATTGCCACCATCTATGAAATGCTGAGATGGCAGCCAAATGCACTTTCACAGAGGAAGGTGCCAAACCTGAGTCCTTCAGAGAGAGCAGGTAGTCAGATGAGGGCCTTTCCTCCTCAACCAGGAGGCAAACTTCTCCCATTATAGGTGTGTGAAATGTGGGTAGAACACCTATGAGCATGTAACAGAACTTATAACACTAGTTGGGAAAAACTCACATGGATAGATTTAGAAGCCAAGCAGTTAAGCACAGCCTCATGATATGATGGTGCCACAGTGAATTGCTGTGCAGCAGATCTGACTGCAGGGGAAAATGAGTGTAGAGTCCCTGAGACACAGTCATGAGCTCAGAGAACCAAATCTGATGTAGCCACCAAGGAGCCACCAAGATGGAATGTCCTCTGGGATCTGATTCTGCCCAGAACCTTACTTAGTAAAGGAATTGGGGGTAAAGCGTAAAACAACCCCTTCCTCCATGGAGGGGTCACCTCCAAGCTAGAGAGGAGATGGATGTAACAACATGGTCTCAGTCAATTACTCTCAGCTTTCCACAATTAAAGATACATTTACACATCAGTCTCCAATTTTGATAGATTTGCTTCACCATGTTCTCCCCCGAAATTAAATCCACACAAATGGTGACCATGTAAATTTAGCTTGTTATTCATGTTTGGACTGGTAAATTTCATTTAATTGTATCTGAAGAAGTGTGCGTGCACATGAAAGCTCATACCTTGAACAAAACTTTGTTGATCTTAAAGGTGCCACTGGATTCATATTGTCTGTTTCTATTTTGGCCATTAGCATAGCATAGTGTGAACCATCTATAACATCACTCCATTTTTATTCATTCCTCACATTTGATGATGTCAAGGAAATCCCCTTTCAGAGTGCACCTGCAGAAATCTCAAACAAAGACCTAATGCGACCCTGACTAAATGTGTTTCAGCCTTATGGCCTTCTTCAGTGGTCAAGCATAGCTATTACATATGCATTGTCTGGACCTAATGTGTAATACCTATGCTTGGCCACTGAAGTAGGCCATAAGGCCAAAACACGTTTGGTCAAGGTCACATTAGGTCTTTGTTTGAGATTTCTGTATGATTTTAATCTGAATCGAGCCCTTTAATTTGGATTCATTTAACCTTCTAGGTTCTTAATGGAGAAAAATTTCAGTCAGGTTCTTACACCACCTGCTGTACTGCCTTTCAAACTACTCAACAAGATGTGGTCCAAAATCAGTAGAAGCACAAACACAGGGTGCTTCATATCCAACACTGTTCCTATATGCAACCCTTTGTCCACAAGTTGGGAAGCCACTAATGGCAGCAGATTCCAATGTTATGTACACACAGAGATGTATTTTATTTCTATTTCCCTGGGAAGGTTATTATTTATTTCACATTTCAGTGCACAAAGGTCTACTTTTTTCCTGTATCTGGTTTAAGAAAGAAATCATGTGTGACACATTCTGTGGCAGCCATATATTTCCACAGCAGTGCCACCTGGGGGCTTGAAATACATGATGCACTCAACATGTGCCAGGTTGCAAGGGTGCAACCAGACTCATAGACAGACAGACATTGGGGGAACTCACCTTAAACAGTACTTGTTCAATCAGAACTGTGAGGGAGGAGAGCTTCCAGTTCCCTCCTGTCCCATTTTGTCAGCAGAAATGGCAGCACTGTGGAGGAGCTTCCAGTTCCCTCCTGTCACATTTTGTCAGCAGAAATGGCAGCACTGTAGGCTTTTCATCCTTTTTCTCTGGTTCCATCTCCCCCTAGGCGGCTTCCTACTGTTCAACAGCAGCCACCTCACAAAAGTCAGTGTGATACAGAGTTTCAGACTAGGATGTGGGAGACCCCCATTTGAATCCCCACTCTGCCACAGAAGCTCATTGAGTGGCCTTGGATCAGTTACACACTCTCAGCGTAGGCTTCCTCACAAGATGGATAAAACAGAGAGGAGAATGATGTAAGCTGTGTTGGGTCCCCATTGTGGAGAAAGGCAGGGTATAAATTAAATAAATAATAAATATATCTCAGGATGAGGGGCAGATAAAAGGTTGGTGAGAAGGAAAAAAATGAAGCAGGGAGAGGTGAGGATATGTAGGCTGGTGAGAGGAGGAAAAAAAGAGGAAATAGTGTGGGGAGGTGGATTGAGGGGAAAGTGAGGTGCTCCCCACAAGCTCTTGTGGTTTCCCCACTGCATAACTGGGCCCAGCCCAACAGCTGGCACCATGCAACTGGGCCCAGCCCTGGAGCTAGAACTATGTAGAGTTGTTCCCAGGGAGAGGCTGACAGAGGGAAGGAAGCAGAGGAAACTGAAGATGAAGGCAGATAAGTCCTTACGGGTCCCCTGCTTGTACCTACCCTGATTTCTTATGAATTTAAGATAAATGTTTTATGGCATTATTTTTTCACTATATTACTACAGGTATGAATAAAGACTACTATATTCAGGAGTAAGCAAAGTAGATCCCAAAGTAGATGCTATTGACTCTTTTTTATTTAAGAGCACATCAAACTTTTATGCAAAAGCTTTGGTTGACTGGAATGATATGCACATTTAAAATGCAGCATTTTCTGATAAAAAACAATAAACATGACATGTACATTCAGAGGTCAGCAAGACAAACATTGTCCGTATTACAAAGCTACACTATAGAAAATGAAATATTTGCAGTGACAAGCTAGGAACTCATTATATATTTGGTATCTTAAATAGGACTTAAGAATTTTTGATATGACCAACTGAAAGTCAGCAAGACTGTGGCAAGTTTAGCCAGCAATTACACCTCTGAAGGGAATTGCTGGACGAAAACAAGAAAGAGCCTGTATTCTTAGTGATTTCACTTGAAGCTAGGACTCCTAAAATTTAACAGAAAATATTGCTGGTAGTGAGTCATTTTTAAATATCAGTTGCAGTAATGATCAGAAATGTATTTGAGAGAACAGTAAGTATTCGACAAGTCATCAGGTCATAAAGGAAGCTTTAGGACAATTTATCTCTAGGTGATGACTGGCAAACCTAAACACTTAAAAAAATTGAGCTGCTAAATATTTTGTCATCAGTGGAAAATGTTCAACTGTCTTTAACCAGTGTCTGAAAACACACACTAAAAGAACAATAATGGACTAATGCCCAAATGTTCAGTGAATTTGAATTTGGTAATACTGTAATTTCCTTTAATTTTAAAATATGAAAAGTAGTAGCATTTGCAAATATATAAAGTTAACAAGCATGAAATGTTAACAGACCAGCTGTTTCCTTTTTCCTTATAAAGTCCATTTATCCAAATGTGGATTGTTCTGTTAAGCAATATTCTGCAGAAACCTGTAGAGAAAGCATCTTTTCAACGAACAGAAAACCTTAGGAAATACATAAACAGTAAATATCTTGAGTTTAGGACAAGAACCCAAATAAAAAAACACAGATATTAACAACCAAAGTATATTTGAATGTTGAGATCTGATGTAAACATACAAAGAGCATGGACATTCATGAACACGCTACCCATAACTCTTCCCAGCATACTTAAAATGCAAAAATGTTTAAACAGCAGGCAATGTTCTCTTTGGAAATGTATCTAAATAAGAGATGCTCCCATGTCAAAGGTGACAATGCAATCCTGTGCAAAATTTCTCCAGTCTAAGCTCATTGCAATCAATGGGCTCGCATAGGATTTTGCATAGGATTGCACTGTGAGTGGGCCAGGACATTAAGAATTGCTCATAACTTATGAATACTTGAACTTTGGACAACAGACTTTTAGCTGACTAAGCACTACCAGTATTGCTGTAATGTGTTCTCTTCCAGCTGCCTCAGAACAGAAGAGAGGAGGTAACATTTGCAGAAACCATTTGTAAAGCTGTATCAAGGCAGGAGAATCTGGCAAAAAGTTAAAATCTTACATCTGACTCCATCTGAAGTCAGCATGACTCTGTGAAGTGGGGTCAAAGCAAAAGTTCTTATTCCCTATCAAGTTGCTATGGGGGGGGGGGAGAGATGAGAAACAGACCATCATTGAGTGTTAGGACATCAAACTTGGGTGAAGTGGGCATGCACATTGAAGGAAAATGTTTCCCTGTGTAGCCACTGGTCCTGGAGATGCATGACTTTCTTTTATTTTCTTCCTTAGTCTTGTCTGGTTGGAAGGAAGTTACATGTACTGGTCTGGCCATTTCTGATTACTGTTGCATGCTGTTGGTCACTACTGGAGTGAGTATAGATTTTCTGGGAACTGAAATGAATGAAATACACCTTTCTAATTGGCATTTCCATGAGTTATATAGCACTTAGGTGTCTCAAAAATAATCTGGTATGCTCACGGGTAGGGATCCTACAGGAAGTAGAAACGTGGACCTTCCTAATTGGCCATATTAACGTGGCATGGCAATGAAAGGGGTTACCTTCCTTTGTGCCAGCCTCTGTTACAGCTAAGAACAAAGTTGTGTCTTTTTCTATTCACTGTCTGTTTCTTTCCCAGCAGCTCCTGCAGTACAAAGCAATCTATTAGGCCATTTTGGTTTTGCTGTGTGTGTGTGTGAGCAAAGATGAGAAAAAAGTTGTGCAGTTTGTCTGATCAGTTCCTTAAAATTACAGATGTAAACCTCTTTGCTCTTCATATTTTAGAAACAATCACCCTTAACCTGAATATATACAATATATACTACATACATTATTTTTTATACAGAAAAACTCATTGATTCAGACAGAAATGAAAAGCCTTTGAAAACTAACTTGTTTTTCACAAAGAAACATATACTGCAACAGGTGGTGACAGCAGGTCCTTCCAGTTTTGTCTGAAGTGCTTCATTTCTTCAAGAATCACCAACATTGTGCAAGTATTGTTTCCCCCCTTTTTGGTTTTCCATGTTGCAGCTTTTAAATATCAGGAGGTGGAGGATCAACGGTACCTGGACATAAGCAACACAGAAGAATGCCTCTTATAGTATATATATAAAAATACAATGGGTTTAGTCTGGCCAAAGTTAAGTCCTTTGATTTCAAGGAGAAGAACTTAAAAAAGCAGGTTGCTTACCAGTAACTGGTGATCTTCGAGTGGTCATCTGTGCATTCACACCCATGGGATTCAGTGCGCACACGCTGGATCAATTGGTGCTATAGCAAGCTCTTTTTTAATGGATTTTAATGCCCAGTCCCTCCGGGCATGCGCAGGAACCCCATCGTGTATGCTCAGAGGGGTGGGCGCGGACATCCCACCAGTTCCTTCAAAGTACCGCCGCAAATCAACCCCCATTCGAAAATGTAGAAGCTGACAGCAGCGGGGAAGGAAGGTGGGTGGTGTGAATGCACAGATGACCACTCAAAGATCACCAGTTACTAGTAAGCAACCTGCTTATCTTCGACATGGTCTCTGTGCTTTACACCCATGGGAGATTACCGAGCAGTAGCCTACCTGGAGGTGGGTGCTGGCAGGTCTTTTACTGTGTAGCTGAAGACAGAATGTGACGTCCCATGTTGGTACCGGTGTTCGTATGGACGTCTAGGGCCTAGTGCCTGGTGAAGGTGTTAGGCATGGCCCAGGTAGCGGCTTTACAAATGTCCGGTAGTGGTACTCCTTGGAGGAAGGCAGTGGAAGTCGCGACAGCCCTGGTGGAATGAGCCCTGATAGGACCAGGCAATGGCTGCTTGGTGAGTAGGTAACAGAGTTGGATGAGACCTACAATCCACTTCGAGAGGCACTGAGCCATGATACGACTGCCTAGCCGTGCCAAAGCGTACGAGATGAAAAGTTGTGGGTCTTGTCTGGTTGGATCCGTTCTTTGGAGATGGAACAAAAGAGCACGCTTGACATCTAGAGTGTGTAGTAGTCTGTCCTCCGCTGACGTAGGGTTTGGAAAGAAGTCTGGGAGGAAGACCTCAGCCTGCAGGTGGAACTCTGACACCACCTTCGACAGGAAGGAAATGTCCGGTACTAGTCGTACTCCATCTGGCAAAAACGACAGGTAGGGTGTGTCATGGCAGAAAGCCAGTATCTCTCCCACTCACCTAGCCGAGGTGATGGCAATTAAAAAGGCCGTTTACCAAGCCAGGAGTCTGAGCTCGCATGTTGCAAGTGGCTTGAAGGGCTTCCTCATCAGCTGGCGTAGAACTAGAGGAAGGTCCCATGGAGTAACTGGAGTTTTAACAGGAGGGTAAAGGTGAAGCAAACCTTTTAAAAACCGTTTCGAAAGCCGATGTGAAAACAAAGTACATCCTTCAACTGGAACATGGTAGGCCGAAAGAGCGGCCAAATAAACTTTCAACGAAGAGCTGGAAAGTCCCGAGTCAGCTAAGGAGAGGAGGAAATGAAAAACTCTGTCGAGGCCAACTGAGGAGGCTCGAGTGGCATCCTCACCGAGGAAAGAGCAGAACTTCTTCCATTTATAAGTATAGGACTTCCGTGTAGTGGGTTTCCTTGAATTCAGAAGGACGTTAACTACACGGGAGGAGAAGCCTGTGACGTTACCTGCCATGCTGTCGGTTTCAATTGTGGTATGTTGTGATGGAAGACGGAGGAGTCTGAGAGCAGGAGGAGG